ACCCCCCCCCCCCCCCCCCCCACCAAAAAATCCTCAAAACTTTCTTCAAGAAACTAGAGGAAACACAACAAGAAACGAATTGGATAGACATAGAAAGATAATATAAGTAGAGATCAGCCTGTAGTTTTCCTACTGCGTACAAAGAAGACGAGAGGTGTTTGTGGGAGGGGAGGGTGGAAGGCCACGAACAACATTTTTTGCAGATGGACTTCATTCCGGCCTTACAGGATAATAGACCACTAATTTCTGTGGTTGGCCTTTTATTTGTTATAGGAAGCACTGTTTTCACTTTGTTCAAAAATTTCTAAAAACATAAGCAGTCCACAACGCTCATAACTGAATTTAGGTTAACATAGTTTATCTGTCACAACATCAAAAACATAAGAGGGAATATTTCTATTATTTCTTGAGACCTTTAGGTGGACAAACACGATTTTTCCACAAATCTGAACAGTAAACCCTTCTTGCACATTATTTTGCATTTGCTCCAGTTATTTGGGTGCCAAACCACAATGTGTCACCGGTACGTTTATAAATGGCTGATAACAGAATTCCACCTTAAGTTTATTTCCCAAAATAGCATAATTTTAAAATGGCCCAATACTGCCCAGTATACCAGGCAACAAAAGTTGTTTTTCCTCAGTCTCTAAAATTCTCCTTTTCAGGTAGGCCCTACTCACATTTCACTCCATAACTTGCTTGGATTCATGAGTGAATTGAGAAATCAAGAAACAATTTTCATATTGTCCGAAAGCTGACCAGAAAGCAAAACCATTTAGGAGAAACAGCTGCTTCAGTTCTCTTTAAAATTGTACCTACATTACGCATCTATTTTTTCGCATTTCCAAAAATTCATTTCTTGAGCACATGCAACCAATACAAAGGATTTAGACGTTGCAATTTTAAAAATTCAAAATTTTGTGCTTAGTACATGTGAACAGCTGGCTGACAATATGCTTCTGACACAACATTCTTAAAAAAAAAGAAGTGATTAATTCCTCTAGGATAGTGCTGGACAGCAGATTGCCAGAAAACACACTTATACAAACATTATACTGTATAGAGGAACAATATGCCCCACTAAAGAATACTTTGTAAATTTCATTTGTATATTAGTGAATAATACAGTATTGTTTTCATTGCAGTTCCACTGTACCACTAAAACAGTAAATCATTTCAAAATACAGGAATAATACCAGTTCTCCCAAACCAAAAAAACAAACAAAACCGCAAACACTAAACATTCTGAACATGAAGGTTCACATTTATAATTAGTCAATGATGTAAGATAACAATACACTGGGTCTCAAAAATATTGAAAGAGCATTCTTTGGAGTGTAACATAGCTGCAATATATAATCGCCAGTGTCATTCAAAAATCACCCAAATCAATATCTGGGGGTTTCCAGATAAAGCCGTTATTTCAATAAAAACATCAAGGGGCATCTTACAACAAAAAAAAGTTTTCTGTTATTTATTTCCTTCATAGTTCTTAGTTTTTATTTGAAAAACCAAAAGTGCCCAAGTCATGGTTCGAATTTGGGCAATTTCTTTTTTTAAAAAGTTTCTCAAAACTAAAAAAAAATGACTTCAGGCGTTTGTGGAATGACACTGACATATTGTACTATTTGGACAAAAAGTTCTCAGCATCAAAGTGTTTGTAACATTAACAAAAACAAAGGGGAAAAAAAATCGAGATTCCGGATCTCAAAAGAATCCTCAAGAAGACAATAAATGCAACAAGAATACTGATGCCTCACAAAAGCTCCAGTAATATGGCCTATTCTGTAAACAGTTTACAAAACTATTTTAACAAACCTTGATCTCCTGAGGGCAGTCATTGTACGCAGAAATGGGGTAAAGACATCATAAACTCAACAATCTCCATTGTGATCAAAGCACAGGCATTATGGAGTGAATCTCTAAAGCAGCAAAGATCCTTCCTTCCCACCTAAATCAAAAAACAACTTTTGCATCCCTGTGGGAGAAGGGAACTAGCCCACTATGAATGCATCCTCTCATTGGTTGGACAGACACAAGTAAGATCATCATTTTTACAGATAACACCCACTGATATAAAAGGGCATTATTGTCTTAATGTAATTTAGCAACATCATTTAACAGTATCTGACGCAGGAAAAATCTTTGTGGATATGTAATTGTAAAATACCATGTACTCCTCTACAGAATAAAATCTATTAAGCCTAATTCCCATCAGACATACAGCATCTGCTGAGACTGGAAGAAAGCTATTATGGGGAAAGAGTTAAGTTTTTTCTTTGCTGATAAAAAGGAATTTCTGATATCACCACTAATCAGACAAATCCAACTCAGTACAACAATTTTTAAAAAAATACAGGAATTCAAATAAGATGTATATATTCAAGAGTCAACATTTTCTCTAGTCTTCATTTCAAACAAATTAACCCTGAGACCGAAAAGAACCCATCACTTTGGAGGAAACGATCTTTTTGTTAGAAATGAGATGCATGAAAAAAAAAGCAATAACCATATACCTGAATCACATTGACAAAGAAACAACATGTGTAAAGCTGTACTTTATTTAAAAAAAAAAGAAAAAAAAAAAGAGGAAACCCTCTAGTAAAGCATGTTTGGGATTGTTCCAGATACGTCAAACTGTACTGGCCTTGATCAGGTCAACGCAGCAGCAAACCTGCGTGATCAGGAACATGTCCTTGTTGTAGACAACAGAGTTATCACTCAAACTTGATGCCCTGAGCCAGGGGCAGCTCCTTGCTGAAGTTGATGGTGCTGAAAACAATGAAGAAATAGTGAGAAATGTATTAAACAACTTGAAATCCACTCCCATTCTAATCATGCTGTATTTCATATTTTATTACAGAATTCTCTCAATATTAATGTATCCTACTAAAAGCAGATTCTCTTTGAGCTCAAACTTAGGAAGATCTACAAAGAAGTTCAACACTGATGAAAACAATCAGAACCAGAACTTTCCAGACCCTAACAGAAAATAATCATTAGACTTGGCTTTGCAAGAATTCTAATTAACCAATTTAGAACAAAATAACTTTCTTTTGTACCTCAATACCTTCTTCTGAGATTTTTATATTCTCTGACCAAAAACTGGAAAAAAAGAGGGAAACACATAGGACATTCTTTGCTCTTGCACCCTCTATCCCTCTACAAGACTGACCAACAGCAAAGCACTTTGACTTTTAAATAGTAACTCAGTAGATTCTTTTAAAGCAAGTAGCCTAGAACATGAAGGAAAACTTTTAATCTTTTATCAGCACAGACCTTTCTTTGTGGCAGAAGTAACTTTTTTTAAGACTTCTAATGATCTAAAATAAATTATTTCTTCTTTACCAAAGCACTCATTTTGACAAAACACATCAGTCTATCAAATGCTGTATACTGAAAAATTGAAAGAACCGTTTCACATGAGTCTTAAAAATACTCTGATAGTCTGATTTCATTCAAGCCCCAAAGTCCAATTTTGATGAATATACCGGTGTTGTGACAATATAAAAGAAAATAGTTACCATATCCCCCCTCCCCACATATAACGAAAGACCAACATGTCCAAGCCGCAGACCAACTCACCAGGTGGAGCGCCTCACGTACTGTTTCCATGAATCACTGCCAGACTCCCGGCCACCTCCAGTGTGTTTTTCTCCTCCTGTATTGGGGGAAAAAACAACACATGAAATCATTACAAACCAAATTATCTCACACAAAAACAAATTAAGTTCTTGAGTATCTAAAAAGATATGTCGAGTTCAAGCCCATACATTCAGTTCAAATTGTGAAAACGTATTTGAAACAATGAGAGCCCAAAATCTGACCATATTCTTTCATGACTTTTTACTGCCCAATGAAATTACAAAACCAGTTGTCAGTAACCTACATATGGAGTGCAACTTGTAGCAAACTATGGACAAATAATCAAAAACTTACCGAAGGCACCTCCAATCTCAGCTCCACTGGTTGGAATGTTCACATTGACAAGTCCACAATCAGATCCCTTTGGCCTGCCATGAGATAGAATGAACCAAACTTTAAAACTAAGACAAAACATTTCAAAATCTACATTCTAAATCAAATTTTGATCATGACTTTAACGCCTCTTCACTCACAAGCATTTCCCTGTAAATACATATCTGACTTTACATTTCAAATACTAGCATTTTGAATGATTTAAAAATCTTTCTTTATACACATGAGGCATTTACTATTCTAAAAAAGGGTCTATTACTGTATGGTCTCATGCTTATAGATGTACATTTATACCATTGAATTCTTGCATATACATTAGAAAAAAGTTAACCTTCACCAAAAATGTGCCAGCTGCTTCCGTCAATTATCAATCTTGGCAATAATCAAACATCAACAGAGTTCAAGTGCAACACCAGTCTAAGTCGTAGACGACAATGTTATAAAAACAATATCCATCAGTAACTTCCCTACTGATATTGAACAAAAGTAAAAAAGCAAAGTCATGAATGCCACATACCCAATCCACTTGTAAATAGTGCTCATGTCTTTTGTGAACAGACTGCTAGAGAGACCTTGCTTTACTTCGTTGTTCCACTTCATGGCTTCATCAACATTCTGTAAAATAAAAGTTCCATTTTTGCTGAACATCTTGAATAAACCAACTTCTCATTGAGACACTTAAATAAACTAGTATGATGAACCACAGCAGGAGGCATAAAATAACAAAGCACGACGCTTGTTTTGAATTAGTGATCTTGGAAAAAAATGAAAATGATCCTTTAATACACTAGTAGATTTCCGCCCCCCTTCCCCAACAAAAATCCCCAGAAAAACCCCCAAAACAAAACATTTAACACCCCTCCCCCTCCAATTCCAAACAACAACAGCAACAAACCGTAACAGCTCTAATCTCAACGTCCAACTCAATCTTACAAGTCTTCTTGCTAGGATCTTTTCACCCCCCAGTGCAGTTGATTTTACGAACATGGGTGTTTTATCTACATGGAAAGTCGAATCATCCCTTGCTTGACAGGCAGCCACATGCCGTTTTCGAAGGCACTCTTGATATTTATACTGACTAGAGAGGCTTCAGTTTGAGGATAGGAATTAATTTATGACATTTATTTTTTCCAATATTCTACTAAGTAATAAAGACAACTATACCTTGCTTTTCAAAACATAAACTATTGGCACAAAAGTTTCCTTCATCACAATAGGAGCATCGTGTGCTAGTCCAGTAATAATGGTAGGCTCCACATAGTTCCCAGGTCTTTCGATGACCTGAGGAATAAAATAAAGAAGATAAATTAGATGGACTATAGTAAGAATGAACTTTAATTAAAAACAAACGTGTAACACAGAATTAAGTGACTAATTATAGTCCATTCAAAATATCAACAATTTCCTTTGCAAAACTGCAGGAGTCTTGTTTAATCCGATTCTTGGCAGAAAAGATATTCGTAAGTAACTTCACATTGTGTCTAAGAAAGTTCCTAAAAATCCATTCCAAGAAAAGGACTGAATATGTGAAACACGGAAGAGGTGAAAAATCCACTAGTCTTATCTGTAGACTTTGATGAGGAATGGTAATATTCTTGAAAATTAAATGTGCATCTTTAAATTAGAAAAGTTTAGTCTTGGTGTCATCATCATCATCACTGCCTTTCTCACCCTGCACCAGGGTATAGGCTACGGACAAACACTTTCCACCTTTCTTTATCCTGGGCTAGCCTCTTAATGTTATTCCATGTCTTCCCACTTTTCTGTACATCGAATTCTGGAATTCTTCTCCAGGTTCCACTCCGTCTTCCTTTTGATCTTTACCCTGTGGACTCCACTTTCTTTGTTATGCAGATGCCCGACTTCCTGAGAGTATGTCCAATCCATCTCCACTGCCTTCTTCCTACCTCATCTCTGACTGGGATATGTCTTGTTTTCGTTAACACTTCCTCGTTGGTGACCCTGCTGTCCATCTGATCCTCAGTAACTTTCTTAGACTTGTTCAAGAAAACCTGGATCTTCTTTAAGCAAGTTTGTGATGCGTTCCATGTCTCACATCCATACAATAGGACTGACTTCACATTTGAATTGAAAATCCTAGGCTTTGTTCAAAGTGAGATATCTCTGGTCTTCCAAATTCTGTTCAAAGATATGAAAGCAGTCTGTGCTTTTCCAACGAGGGACTTTATTTCAGCACCTGTTCCTCCCTCTCAGTCAATTATACTCCCAAGATAGCAGAAGGATTCAACATCTTCTAGTGCATTTCTTTCTATTGTGACTTGCTCCTTTCGCCGCGCATCTGTCCTTAGAACCTTTGACTTTCAGGGGTGGATCCTCAATCCAGCAGACATTGATAGGCTGTTTAATACTGAAATCTTTGCTTGCATCTGTTACTGGGTATATGACAGAATCGCCAAGTCACCCGCAAAATCAAGATCGTACAACTGTGTCCATGGGGTCCACTGTATACCATTCCTGTGTCCTCTGGTGGTTTCCTTCATCAGCCAATCGACTGCCAATATGAAGAGGACTTGTCTATGTATGCAAGGAAATTATCATGTGGCTGGAAGTCACCCTATGTTTCCATGATTGTTGTCTGCAGAGTGAAAGTTAGGACTGACTGCCACAATCTCCTCTCACACCATTATGCTCCCTTTGAAATACATCAGATCTAACCCTGCCCCGAGATCTAGCTGATAGGTGAATGCAGAATCCTTTATAAGAACTGTGCCCTGCCAACATTAGGGAGTTTAGATCACTCTAGCTTCATATCTTTGTGTGGAAGCCTTGACCCATAAAAAATAAATCAATTGATAGAAACCAGTCTTACATTTCCTCCACACTCAACATGACCGCCTTGCTCCTTGGCAGCTTTCACAGCTTCCTCAAATTTCTTCACAGCCTCTTGATTGTGCAGCGGGCCATACAGGGTGCCCTCTGGAAAGGAAACATTGTGATAAAGATTAACTCTGATTTTAGATTTAGTAAGAATTTTACAGCACTTGCAATACAATTGGTCATATATGTTCAGAATATTAGAGGTGTTACTAGAGAGTAACATGCAAGGCAAAGGAGGAGGAGACATAAGGACAATAGATGTTTGATAGGAAAAAAGGAGCAAACCATACCAAAGCGCCCGGCATCCACCCACACAATTATTTGGCTGAAGTCAAATATGAGTAAACAGAGATTTGCCTCAGACATATATTAAAGTTAAAGTAGGTACCAAGTCTGAAATGATTTCTCTCAACTAAGTTCACAGCTCACAGTTATCTTTAAAAAATTAGCAAGAAGAGAAACAATAAAACGAATTGTCAAGTTCCAAATTCTCTCACCATCAAAGACAATGATACAGGTAACAGACGTGCACAATTTCTTGGCATTTCATACTGAAGCATGCGAGACGACAGATACTGATCCTTTGAAAACAACTCGACCATTTCATTCTTCCTTTTCTTCATCATTCTCTTCCTAGTGCTTCAGATAAATTGACTGTGGGTTCTTCAAATATATTTATACTGTACAAACTCTTATTTTTCCTTCTTGAGCGCAGTCTCTTGCCTTTCTGGCAGAAATAATATGCCTATCATAAAGGTAATTTTCTAGTTAGTATACAAAGACATGTAGGGATTCACACATATCTACAACATTCTCAGCATTAAAAAGGTATCTTAAGCAATATCAAACTACAAATATATATATTTTACACTTGAGCCTGCTCTAACAGCCATCTGTAGAAACAATCATTTGCAACTTCCCCCTTGTGTATTTTAAAAATATTATAATGACACTGTCCAAGAAATCCAACTATTTATGATGACCAGCTTTCTCCTCAATAATGGGCAGTCATCTTGGACACGTTCAACTGGACATTGTTTTGTACATGACAGACATGAGCAGGACAAACCTTCGATGGGATCTCCAACCCTGAGTTGACCGTAGGCTTTGACCAGTCTAGCAACAATTTCATCATGGACTTTCTCATGCAGGATCTAGGGGGAGAAATTACAAACGTCATTCACGGACATGGCCAAACCTCATGAACTATAACTGGAACCACAAAAAAAACAGAGCTTTACAGAAGGCAAACTTCATGGTGTCAGCTTTACTTGGGTGCTTAGCAGTTGACAAACAGACTTCAACATAAGTTAAGGACCACCTTGACAGACAGCCCTGATTTTTGTAAAATCTGAAAAAAAGAGACAGCAAAGAATGTTTCAAAATATTTTGCTCTGACAGTGTTCAACTATTAAACAGTTCTCGTTTATAGAAAAAAGGAAAAAACCAAATCAGGGAAAATACATCGAAACAAATTTCCCCAAGGGTATGAATAAAGTTAATCAATGTATTCATTATTATTTACCAATCTCCTGGTCGTAGTACAGCGCTGACCAGCTGTCCCTGCACAGGCAAACAGAGCTGACCGGACCACCATGTCCACATCTGCGTCCTCATTGACTGAAAATCAAAGAGATCACTCGCTAGAAAAGGAAAGGCCAACCTAAGTCTATTAATTTCAGGATAAATCCTTTCACAAAAAGCCTACTTCAGTAGTAAAGATGACCGTATTGTACATTCACTTATCTCATCACAAAAAGAAGTGACAAACTCTCTATTGAAAAAAATGATACTGAATCCAGTTAGCAATATATCATGATGAACTTATCCATGAATCAAATTGACATGACCATTAATTATAGTAAAACTGAACTCACAAACAAACATTACAAAAAAAAAGAAAAAAAAAAGAAGATAACATGATATTCCAAAAATTTATAAAAATTTTAAAAGAACTTAAATGTACAACGCAACATTGAGAATACTCATTTTAAAAAATATCTTTAATTTATCACAACTTACCAACAATGGCATTGTTTCCGCCTAACTCCAAAAGGAATTTTCCTGTAAAAATTAAAGAACAGCAAATATAAATTTTCAGCTGCTGGGGTCTTTCAAAGAAAGAGGACAACCAACGTAAAAAATACATCACTACAAGATGTAACTGGAGTTCAGGTCAATTTTGATTGAATATGGAAAAAAAACCATGTATGTACTTTTGCAAAACTGCAAAAAATTTCCATATGTAAATGACATTTTAACCTAATTTACTAAAAATTTTCTGATAATTCATTTGAATGGAAGCTGAAGTAGGACAAAATGACAATATTATATCAGCCCAGACTCATACTTTGCATTCAATAATCAGTCCATACAAAGTCACAAAACTTACCAAATCTTTCTTGAACTTTGAGTGACACCTTGTGTCCAACCTGAAACGCCATAAGAATACAACAAATTTATGTGGTGAAAAAAATTTACCTTGTCCAGTAAAACGTACACAAATTGACTTTTAAATACATTCTATTTACAAATCTTTTACACGTTTAACGTTGGGGCAATTTACAAAAATGTACGCCAAAGCAATAGAGGCTATAAATGGTACAGGAAACAATAACACTTGAAAAACAACAAACACATAGACTGGACAGAAAAAATCCCCCAAATCTCTCCCAATGGAAGGACTATTTATTGAAGAAATTAAGACAACAAATATCAAACTAGTAGGTACCAGTACTAAAATAAGCCTTCAATCACAGAATAAGTTCCCCAATAAAGAAAATGGCCTGTACAAAACATGCTCTCAAAAGAAAGTATTTGATAAATGAACCACATATTGCATACCTCTGTGCTTCCTGTGAAGGACAGAAGATTAACACGTTCATCTGTTGACATCAGATTTCTGAAGAAAAAGAACAAACAAATACAACCTTTAGGAAACTGTTACGGGAGGTGTTGTTTTATTAGAGTTATCCTGTTAGGCCTCAAGGGCAGTAGACTCGATACTTTGTAAGTAATTTTTAACATATCAACATCTTTATCTTACAAACATAGTGTCCTTTGTTTTAGGGAAGCCATATCATATGTGAGGTATCGTGGTGAAATCAGGAGCTCGTCAAAATAGCAAAATTGGAGAAACAGGCATTTCCCCACCAGTTTTATAATTTTAATCAAATTTTTGTTCTTTTTTGTTCACCCTTTTATGTCCATAGAAAACACATTTCCATGTGAATTATATTGAAAAATGTCGATTAACCTCTTCGCTGCCGTGTCCGTAGAATTTAAGGGCCTGAACTGTGTAGCGCTGTAACTATGGCCCGTAGAATTTATGGGACTCTGACAGAGGCTGTTTTAATACCAATTAAAAAGGAAGTTACTACTAAAATCTTGTAATTATTATTGAGGGTACCTTACCTTGGTTTATGAGATCCCCCCCCACCCCCCAGGGATCTATTTATGATATAGGTGCAGCATTGAAGGGGTTAAAAGCTCAAAATATATAAGTTTTCAGTTTTCCAGGACTCTTTAGCTACTGAAGTTACCAAAATTAGGCAGCCATTTTCTCGCTTTTTCTACGGCTGGAACCAAGTGAACTAATCTCTTTCAATCACAAATATCTTCACTTCTGCTCAAGATAGAAGGGTATTCGATTTCATCAAAAGCCAATAACTCCACATGCACAAAAATTGATGAGCGCCTGATTCCACCGCATCGTGACACATGTTCCTGGATAATTTATAACAACCAGTTTTTAAAATCTGGGTATGGATTAATTCAGGATTTTGCTTGCACAGCTGGTTTCCCCCCAGTATGGTTTAATCCCCCTAGCAACACAGTATAGTTATTTAATATGCAAGTCCTCCTTATTTCATATTTATATCCCATAGTTGCTGGTAGAATAAACTGAGCCAAAAGATGCGCGTCTAAAGGCACTGACAACAATGTAAAGTTAACAATTACACTTCCAACCATTTTGACATATTATCTCTTACCCTATATCAGCACCGCCACTCACAAGAGAGCAAACAGCCCCAGGAATATTGTTTGCTTCCAGCACAGAACTGATCACCCTGGAGGAGAAGAGGCCAACAGAAAAATATTAGAAGATTTCTCTGGTAAGTTCACAGCAGGACAATTAACACTTAGCAGGTTTTTTTAAAATAACGGTTTTACTGCGCTCGCAACTGCATAAGGTCATACGAGCGCCAGAAGAATTAGAAGTGTTACAAAAGAGTCTCTTAGTAAGAGTTTTACAGCACTTGCAACACAATAAGGTCATATAAGGGCCGGATATTAGAGGTGTTACAAGAGAGTAACAAACACAAAAAAGAAGGAGGGGAGATAAGGACGATAGATGTCTGATAGGAAAGAAGAAGCAAACCACACCAGAGCACCTGCGAACCACTCACTTACAAGAGAGTAGCAAACATAAAAAAGAAGAAGGGGAGATAAGGACGATAGATGTTTGATAGGAAAGAAGGAGCAAACCACACCAGAGCACCTGCCAACCACCCACTAACACTTAGCAATAACACACACAAACATACAAGAAAGCAAAATGAAAAGTACAACAACACACTTCTAAACAAGTTAACCAAGACACAAGAAGGGAAAATGAATACATCTGACCAAGATACCCACCATAGGGCTTCAGAGAATCAAAATTCTCGAAGGCAATACTTCTCCAATACAACATTATAAAACTTTCAACTTACCTGGTCATGGCCACACTGACAAGAGGAGTTGATGGAGCACCCTTCCTGTGAGGAATACACGGATGACAAAATATTAAAAAATTAATATTGAGTGAAAAAAACAAACGAACCCAAGAACCCAAGTATTTTTCACACAAAAAATTTTGTTCACAGAGAATTTCTCGCACACCTTCTGCCATAAAGAGGCCATAAATCTTTAGAATATCCATTCAACCTTCTTTCTTTTGGTAAGTGTAGTAAGAAGGAGTTCAGAAGAAGGGGGGGAGAGGGGGGGTTAGAAAGTGGAGACGAAAGCAGGCGATAGAACGTCGTTAGAGAGCTGGAAAGGAGGTGGAAGGAGAAAAGTGTAGAGAAGAAAATTTTCCATTGCTGTCAGGTTTTGAAATTGGGACCTATAGGTGAGGCAAACACCATAACCCCTAGAACATGAGAGCCCCTTTTTAACCTTCTTTTTCAACAGTACTGATTGAACATACATTTGTTCATAATGATCCAGTTCCATATAGCTGATACCAATTCAGTAGCCATCACGAAACTGGATCCCCCAGCAAACTGTTTTCAACAGGAACAATTTACAAGAGCTACTGTTGAGAGATTTCAGCTGAGACTCACCAGACCATAGCGTTTCCACAGACCATGGCAAGGGCCGAGTTCCACCCGTACACAGCACAGGGGAAGTTGAAGGCTGTAATGACACCAACAATACCCAGGGGATTCCATTGCTCCAGCAGCATGTGGCCGGGGCCTGGAAGCACAAAACAAGACTGTGATACGAAGATATATTATTATTGTACCACAACAAAGACAAGCTTTTCACATCTTTTAGAGTTTGATCCAGTGAATACTATGATTTTTACTAAGTAAATCATTCTAATATGCTGTAGTTATTAAAGGAAGTCAAAATTTGTAACAAATTGATCGATGTCACCCCAAAGAATGTAAGTCTGGTTGAAGTTCTCCCTTGAGATATTATCATGATATGAGACTGGCCACTCGACGGCAAAGCTAACTTTCAGTTGTAAAGCACTGCTACTGAATGTTTTTCCAACTCAGGATAGATAATCAACAGTGATCCTTGAAATTTTGCTAACAAAGTGGTAATTATTTCTATATCCATTGGATGCGACAGTTAAACTACTGTGAATCTCTAAAAAGAAGAGATGACAAGAAACACTTACGTTCAGAAGGATAGATGTGTCCGGCAAACATACGAGACAGACCCACAGCATAGTCACAGATGTCAATGTACTCCTGTACTTCCCCTTCACCCTCAGCCACAATTTTGCCCATTTCAAGAGCAATCTAAACAAGGGGAAAAGCAGAAAAACACATACAATAAGTAATATGCTGACCTAATTTATAGCCAGTTTTCACACAATGACATCAGTCATCAGTTGAAAAGATTCTTTAATTAAAAAAAAAATGCAACTTCACAGAAGAGAAGAATTTGTACAAATACAACTGTAATCTTGTTTTTTTCTATATACGTTTAGCACCCTTACAGAAACAGACCACAAAACAACAGTAGAAAAAGGATTTTAAAAAACATCAGCTAAACCTTACTCTTTCAAGTACATTTCTAATAACCCCTGTACAATACTCGGAGCGACATGAACAAACCCCAACGACTCCAAACAAGCTGTGAAAAATATTCTAAAAACTCTATCCTGCAGATTCTATAAATAGGTATGTCGACTGCAGATAGGAATGTCACAATGAAACCTACAGTTACTTGACTTCTTAAAACAAATTCAATGACTTACTAGCTTTCCTAACAAGTGCTTCTTTTCTCTGAAAGCATCGCCAATTTGTCTCACAATTTCACCTCTTTGGGGTCCGGGAATCTGAAAAACCAGAAAAATAGATGCTGTCATACTGTGTTCACTACATTACTTAAGCATACTAAATGCATTGCATCAAGGAAGCCTAGCTAATCATTTACAGACATTTCTTCTATTATATTTTAACTGGAAAAAGATATAATATTTTCAAATTTTATCTCTATACAATCATTAACTGTCCCTAAACTATGCTTGGACAGACAAGGAAACTTTTATCTAAACTGGGAGTAAAACTCTTGTTGGAAAAACCCCCCAATTTGAAATTGAGGGTACAACAAAAAAACAAACAATGTTATGACTTGGCTTCTCATTAAAAGACTTGGTGACAGAAAAACTTACGTCTGCCCACTGTTCCCAGGCTGCTCTGGTCAACTGAATTGAATTCTCATAATCAGAAGGACTTCCCTGAGAATATAAAGAATATATATAAGGCCATGGGTGATAATAATAATCATAATGCAGTAGTCTCAGTCTAAGATACCGGTGCTTGGGAGTAAGGAAAACGAGGGATCTTAGCCGAATCATAAAAGAATCCATAAAGACTCATGTTTAGACCGTAATTGGTAAAATGGTCTCCTCTAAATTTGAAATGAACTGACATGACCCCTGTGTATTCAGGGGTCTTTTCAGAGGTAAATTTTTGTGGACATGGGCTAGTAAATTATACCAAATGGCGGGAAAAGGGCAGCTCACCTTTTTGACCAATCACAATGATCTCTTCTGAATCTAGTGAGGCATGCTATTTTCACGTATCCAATTGTGAGTTTAAATATCAAGGTTAATCTATTGCTCCTCCCCTTCACCTGCTCTAATTATATAAGTTTTCCACCTCTGACCGAGGCCCCTGCTCATGTTGTGACCACATCAATTAAAATTCAAAGAACATTAGGCAAGCTCATTGCCAACAGATCACCACACTAAGCAAAGACAATCAGACCGTCCATGGGTATAGGGGCCAGTCTATCTAGCAAATTTGGGCCCAGAGCTGGAAGACAAGTGCGATACAGTCAATATGATCCCATCTGATGTGGCCTTGAAGGTTTTATCCACCCAGGGATATTTGTAAGGTCAGGCTGTAGGCTCAAATGAGTGCGATATTTGGGGAAAACAAACATAGATGAGTTCACACCTATGCGTGACCCTGTCTAGGACAAACATTACACCCACTCAGCCAAAATTACAACAGAGTTGAGATTGCATTCATGCGAGTGGATGATCTGTGAAGTGACAGGCAACACAGTGATAACACATTTTTGCTGCTAGGTTAATTGTAAAAAAAAAAATGATTTAAAAAAGTTTGCAAGAAGGGCAACACGTGGACACAACAGTGCAAAAGACATTTTTAATGTACACTTATCTATTAGCATTGGTAGAAGCCTGCATCAGCAAGATACCTATTTGAGAATCTTTTAACCTGTCACAAAAGAATAAAGACATGATACATGAAGTGAAAAATATCAACACCTGGAAAGGACCAAAGTATGTCAAATCCATCCCCCCCCCACCCGATACAGGTACACAATACGGACCATGGTGTTTTGAAGTAAAAAAGTGTAAATGATCATTCTCAAGGACAAACTTTTAGCACAAAACAGTCAGGAATTGCAACACTAAAAGGAACTCCATCACCATATTTTTGTAAACTTGTAAAAATTGTAACGGCTAGAGTCATACCTCTTTGAAGAAAGGCATATTAAATACATATCAGTATGTTTTCCTCACCGTGATAACTTGGGCAATCGGCTGATTGTTTGCTGGGCAGTATGTTGTAATTTCCTGGACAGAGAAAGAACAAAAAAACCCAAAAACAAGTGAGGTATTAATATTTCTCATACAGTTATGATGAAACTACTTTTTACATCCCCAGTCACTGACAAATCAACATGCAAAGTGAAGGAGAGTTAATGATTAATTTGCTTTTTTTTTCATGTCTGAATTTGAAGATGGAGTCTAATTCATTATGAAAAATGCATATTATATATATGTTCAATGGTTGAACAGTGCCTTAATCTTTGATCGAACTACGCACTGTTTACAATAAAAATATAAAATAGCAAGCTGGAAATAATAAAACAGACAGGTTGAGATACAGGGAAAAGGATAAGAGAATACTTTGTTGATTACACAATATCAGGGGTTGTGTAAGAAAATACTAAAGTAAATTTAAGGTGAAAGCTGAAGTTGAGTCCAAGTTACGTTTGCAATTTTCATTTCCATTTTCCTCCTACTTTCAACACCTGTTCAAAGTAATGCAACAATGTAAGTTAAGATACTCATTTATCATATTATCTGTATCACAAACACACTGAGAAAGCTATATTATATATATATAAGTATCGTTTGAAGTTAAAATCAAAATAAGAGTAGTTGTGACAAAACAAAATGACGAATGGCCAAGATCCATGAATAAATGGTGGCTCCAAAAGGCTAATAGAATCTAAAGGATAATGGATACTTTTTGAGAAAATGGGTTTGCAAAAACTGTGCCAAGACTAGAAATTTCTCAAAGGAAATGGTGAAAAGCTTTCACTTTGTGAAAGTAAATAAAGGGATGTCAATTTATAATGCATGATAGATGTGGTGTCGGTGGCCTAGTGGTTAGGCTCTCGGACTCGCAACCGTAAGGTCGTGGGTTCGAATCCCGTCAGGGGCTCGATGTTGTGTCCTTGGGAAAGGCACTTTACACGAATTTTCCTCACTTCACCCAGGTGGGAATGGATACCCGGCTAAAGACAGCGAAAGATCTTGTCAGTTTGTTAATGTTTGAGCGCGTAATCAGCTGCTTGCACTGTATGCTTCCCGGGAAGTTGAGAATGTTTCGGAGTGTTTTATGGTCTGCTGGGGTAACAATACAGAGTAAAGCGCATAAGCCTGCTGTTGAGCGGGGATATGAGCTATACAAATGCTATCTATTATTATTATTATCTTAATGGTACTTGTGTTTAATTGGAATAATAATAATAATAATAATATCGACAATTCAGGCATATTATGTTAAATGTTAGGCCTAGATATCTATATATATATACACACAACAAGGAAAGACTTCCGTAACGAGCGTCCACCCCATCAAACACAATAAAGAAGAGGCCTAGACCTAACCCTACCCCTACCCTCACCCCTACCTCTACCCCAAGCCCTCAATTCTGCTCTGTTTCATAGTGGTCGCTCGTTACGGAAGTCCGCCCCACAACAATATGGATTTTGCAGCAACTGAATTTTTATTTCTAAGGTTTGCAAATCCAACATCAGGTACAGCCTCTTGCACTCAGCAGTGTAGAGAAACCCTTACAAAAGGTGGCTAGTTACTTTTGTAGCCCAGTATAGCATAGTATATTATGTTGATATAATAAGGCCTATAAGGCACAATAAGGGCTGGGACTAGAGGCACTAAAGGGCCGCGTACTGCTTTGCTGTGAGACTACATGATAGTATTATAACGTTTCTTGGCAGATGACAAGCATGTCTTGAAATCCAGCTCTTGAAGAAAGGTAGAAACTTGAGCTAAATAAGGCATGGGTAAACTAATATGGGGTGCCCATTGGGGGACAGGATCAGGTTGGGGCGGTTTGCTAGCCAGATTGAGGGCGCCAAGTGGCTATCGCGGCTCAAGCCGATTACGCCCAACTCGTCACCTAAAAAACAAAACACGTCTGTTTTCAGGTGACGAGAGGGGCGATCGTCCTGAACCAACCCTATCCGTAGTGGGCACCCTTTATAAGCCTGACCTGTGAGCAGATTTAGTTAAAGTTCAGCCTAAGTTGACCCAGAAATAACAATAACATGTAAATTAATCCTGTGGTAAGCTGATAAGAACAACTAAAATGTTTTTGGGCCAGCTGGAGGTGAAACAACTAGATCTAGATCTTACATTTCATCTCAGACTGGCCTGAGTGACATCAGTAGTGCAATAGTCTGAATAGTGTCAGGTTTTGTCTCACTTTTGAAAGCTTAGAATTTCAACCCATTTCACTTTCACTCAACTTTCTCAATATATTGACAACATCCTTTGATGGTCTGCTAGATATTCGGAACAGCTTAACCTGACCGTGCCTTGGACATGCTTGCTCATGCCTGAGTTATAATTCAATTCAATCATAATTTAATTCTAGAATCTAGCAACATGAAACAAATTTGCTTTGGCTCTGAGGCATTTTCAGAGTCGGCATTTCGGTACACGTAGCAGCGCAACACGAGTCTCTAGTAGTAAATCTAAGTAAAAACAACATATACCTCGCCTGAACCACACCACTTTCCATTGTACACGCCTTGATTTTTACTGCTAAGACCAAGCTCTTGCAGCCATGAATACTTCGGGTCATCAACAAGAAAGTTTGCCATTGCTGAGTAGTATCTCGTGTTGTGCAGAGAAGAAGGATATCGTCGGGCGTGATTGGCAAACACTCGGAATACTTGAGTTATCGTAGCCATTCTGAGACAGTCCCAGATTTTTTTCTCCGAGCTGGTTTACAAGGTACTTTTGAACACGTTAATGCAAGCAGAATGTTTTTCAGGAATTTAACACCTGGTTATCAATAATTTCTTCTCCTGTATCAATATGGAGTTAGAATATAGAAAATCCACACAAATGCATAGTTGAATAAGTTGATTTGAAGAACCTGAAAGCTAAGGCTTCTTTCTTCAAGCCCACATTATTGTCCACTTGGACTTTCGCTCTCAACCAATCATTGTGCGAGAAGCGCGCACACCCCCAATCACCTTGACACACCCGCCAAAGCACAAAGTTGGCCTGCTCCCACAGAATTCTACACTGAATGCCTACTCGTAATACACGTGTAGAAGTGAACAACCTCTGCAGTGGTTTTCAAAGTGGGTGGCGACAGTTTGGGGGTCGCTGTGGCGAAATTGGGCGATTGGGGGGCGCTAGTGGGCGTTAAGGGGGCGGTGGGAAATTTCTATGAACTGCCAAAACTATTTTTTTTTAGTGATGAAGAGAACTGAGAAAGAAACTACACATAAAACAAAAACAAAAACTGATAATAGTTAAAGAAATTATTTAATTTAGGCATAGTTAACAATACTACTTACTTCTAGGAACTTTCTATCCCAGCAAGCAAAACCCATAATGATGAGCTATTTTCAAAGTGGCCCAAGAACATTTCGAGGAGAAACAGATCCGTCTGACCCCCTATAGTTGCCTGTGCAACAGATGGGGCTCCGTCAAAGACAGGTCGGTACCGTGGATTTATGAGCTTCTTGAAGAAATCGGTCCCTGGAGTACTTACTGTTCAGTGTATCAGTCACCATTCACAGACAGCATTAGGTGACTAAAAACCTGAGTGATAGTCTGCATGGCACACGTACTGGCCATTGCCATCAAGTGTGTGGACAAGATCAAAGCCCACGCTTTGGATTCGCGATTATTCCAACAACTATGCTCTGAAAATGACGAGGATTTTCTATACTTACTTTTGCACTCTGAGGTCCGGTGGCTCTCAAAAGAAAACTGTTTAACACGATTGTTCTGCCTGTTTGACTCTGTGCTGGAGTTTTTTCTCTGTAATAAACTGAAAGAACACAAGAACAACATTGCGTTCCTCACAGATCTTTTCACAAAGCTCAACCAGGTCAACTTGCAGCTCCAGGGGGATAACATCAACCTGATAAAGGCAAAATCCATTCTATCCTCATTCTCGTCGAAAATGGGAATGTTCCGCCGAAACATTTGCAGAAGATAAATTGCTCAGTTTCCTAGCTTGGCGGAGACACTGATGGAAGGGCGGGTGTCTGATGAGGAGCTAGAAAAATATTCGAACCCGCCTCATAGATTTGTGTGCTGATAACGAAGACAAGATATACTGATATTTTTTAACTGGAAGTTCCAGACTGGGTACTGGACCCACTCAACACTGAAACAGAAGGTGACTTGCCAGTAGCTACTGAAGAGGAGCTTCTGACAATGAAAAGGGACTTTGAAATCAAACCATTGTTCAAGAAGTCGTACTAGTCATTCTGGTTGAAAACTATTGTGCAAGACAAAATTAATATCCCTCCCTGTGGGAAAAGATCAAGCTGTTAATTGCTTTCCCACCTCCTATCTAGTAGAAAGGGGATTCCGTGCAGTGATCACAAGGTTGTTGAAAAAGCAGAGGAACAAACTAAGGATTACAGAGCATGGCGATTTGCGTCTGCTACGACCAATCTGAAACCTGATGTTGATAAGTTGGTTTCGTCTCACCAGATCCATCCTTCTCATTAGGGCAGTGTCAATGACTTATTTGTATGCTTACTCCGTAGTTTACTCACCCGATACCTCAATGTGTATTTTGTCTTTCTTTCATAAAAAAACAACAAACAACTCATTTGTTTAATAGTGTTTGTTATGTGCATGTACTGCCGCTGATGATGAAACTAATTTTAATAATGATAATGATGATGACTACGATGATGGTGATGATTACAGAATAAGACGCAGCACGTTGATAATGGGAGAAAACGTTTCATAAAGATAATGCCAATCTGTTTCAAACCAATGCTCACTGATTTATTTGTGTTTTGCTTCTGTATATGTGATAATACATGTATTACTTAATTGATGTTAATGACAATGGTCGTTTAATACAGACAATAACTGTATGCATAAAATGACAGCATTTTGTTTTCCATGCCCTTGCATAATATTGATGAAAAATTCGTTTTATCTCTCGTACACGCATACTCTAAGATTCTATAAAGATAATGATTTGTGACCCAACTAATGTTTCTATTCAGAACAAAATCTTTAGAATTTAGGCACGTTATTTTGTACCCTGCTGTTTGAGCTCTCTATATTTGTGATTGTTAATATGCATGTCGTTATGTCAGATTGATGGTTGGGGCTGAGTAGGGGGCGCTGGGACTCCGATGGGTGAAAAAGGGGGCGGTGGGCGAAGAAAGTTTGAAAACCACTGCTCTAACGGCTTGTACAAACAAGATGATGAAGAGGGAAAGTATTTAGTTGAAAGACATTTTTGTCAAATATGGCTTTTTATATAAAGGCGCCACTTTCTTCCATTTGAGGGGATGTTCAGTCTTTAAAAAAAGTGTAGGACAAGGACTAATAATATTATGCAGTCCAAAAA